GGACCGCGATGATGTTCAATCGCTGTTCTCGCCGGAGTCCAGAATATGCAATCACGCCTAGGACGGAGTAACCCACTACATTTCAAGCGACGGAACCGAGGGACCAGATCCTCTGTCCCCTTTGCCTCGTAGGGCATTCAATATCGCCGCCATACCATCGACGTATGTACCTGTACAGCAATTCAATTATTATTACAATCATCATTCATCACGTTAATGGTCGAAATGAATTTCGCTGCTTACAGTTACGGTGCGTGGATCCGCTACCCATGCAAGCTGTTGAAGCCCAGCCACGATAGCACCCGTACTGCCTGCTTGCTTGACTTCGGCAATTATTTTTTGCGCGCAGAAGCATCATACATACAAGGTTGGAATTGCCTTTGCGCAAAGTTATGATGACAGCCGCAATGAAGCCACCAGGGGCAAATGGGTCATCACTGTACGGCGTTCCGTATTATTATTATGGGGAAGTAAGTATGTAGCTGTATGTGCCACCGGGGCAGGAACGCACCGCTGCCTTACGGGTTCGAAGAGGATATGTTGTCGATCCAGGGACTATGTCAGCGATGACGGACGGATGGATAGGCAGGTAAGAGGAGAATTGGAATTGTTTTAGCTCGGAAAGAGACCGAGGTCCGGGGAGGCTGGAGGTTTGATTTGATGGCGCGACGTCGCGGCTGAACGCACCTTCTCGCAGGTTAACTTTTGGAGTCGCTCGCAGGCGGTGGGGTGGGATGGAGTTTTCTAAAGGTAGCTGAAATGAACTGTGCGAATCTCGAAGCAGTCTGAGGTCATTGCTCACTTACTTATGCGTATGTACCGGCACTCGAGGCCCGACGGCGGAATGGAATGAGCAAGCACGTTCGACGACAGCATGCCTGTTCCTCTCCTCCACCCAAATTTAGCGAAAGAACAAGAGGTAAAAACGCCGTGGCGGGATCACTTGAGGAACTCGGAGGGTGTGGGATTCGCGGGTATGGCGTGGAGGGACCCGGTGCCGGTAGTAGTACACCTATAGTACTCGGAACTGGCGGAAGGGATCGAATGAGTAATGTCGCGGAATGGATTCGAGATCTGCGTTGTATGAACTTCCAGTCGGAAATTCCGCGACCGTGGTCTGTAAAAACGGAAATGAAGCCGCCTTCACTGCTTCTGAGCGGCAGAACGGCAGAAGCAGGCGATCGAGGTGAATGGAAGCTCCGCAGATGAAATGTCCCAGTCTTGCGGGAGCGATTTGGGCGGGAAGTCCCGGTGCTGGCCTGCGTTAGGGACGATGCGATCTGTTAGAGGACATAGCGTTTCCCGCCGAGAATGTTGCCGGTATACCCGTGACGTCTAGAAATCACCGCTGAACAAAGTACTATTCCGTCCTTGCCTTTCGGACGCGCTAAGAAACAATTTGAGGGTCGAGACATCTGGAAGTAATCTGTAATCTGCCGGGTCAGACAAAGTAAATGGGTAAAAATCGCAACACAATTCCAAGGCTGTGTATGTAAAGACCAGGCGCGAATTCTCGAGTCTAAGTAAATTCAGCAGACAGACAGACGGACAGACAGCCAGCCAAACGTACAGATGCAAATCCTCGTGGTGGCTCATACGATCCGTGCAGCCCGCAACAGCGAAACCCGACGGACAACTTGCTTGTTGCGTTGCGCAGCTCGAGCTCGGCCGTGGATCACAAGAATTTGAAGGATTAGCACCAGCGAAGGCTAAACGAGGGACGCGCTATTCTCCGCGGTCTAGGCCAGGGGCAGCGCGAAATTTCTAGTCCCACATGGACGACATTGAGCCCCGACGTCGGGATGAACGTCGTATGTAACTTGGTCCGAATAATTTCACTCGAAGTTCGACGGGGGCTCAAGCGCACCACGAGGTAGATAAAGACCAGATCCCGACGGCGCTCTTGTAGATAGTGTGATTTTTAATTGTGCAAGCGAGCGAGGGTGATCCGGGTGCTTGTGGGTGAAACGCGCTGGCACTGTCATATGGGTGCATGATGAAAAAAAGGAAGGCCGACGACACTGGCGCACGGCAGACGTCGGGCCCTGGATTGGCAGTGCCCGACAGGAGATGGAGGAAGCTTGCCGCGGTTACGGGTACATGTAGGGTCCTGCCAGGGAGATGGCCGGGCGAAACAAACAGAAGCACACTCAGACTTCTCTCGTTTCGCCATCATGACATGACAAGGTTTCAAGGCCTGTTCAGGGCGGCGGAAATCCATGGGGGTCCGCTGGACACTCTCGGTCGCATACTGGCCCGCAATTGGTCCCCTTGCGGCGGTTTGGTGGTGGCCAGTTTGAGAACAAGGACTCGGAGCGGAAACGGCTGGACTGGCCTTGTTCTTCAAGAACTTCAAGATACCTACCCCCATATCTGGCAGAGAACGCCGTCTCACAGACTTCTCTCTTGTTCTGGCCTCGACTAGTCTGTGATATGCTATTCTGGCTGGACTTCTTCGTCTTCGACATCCCACGAAGGCGGGCCCTCCACGGAGATTCAGCGGATTTGCATCCGTCAAGCTGCGACAAGGGACCGTCACAGTGCATCCGCGACTCAATTATCCCTGGCCCAGTCAGCTGTTTCCCGTCTTGAGTGGCATCGGCGCATCGGGATAGTCAAAAAGTCCAAGTTTATCTTAAGGCCGCAAGGTACCAACAACAACGACATCTTGCTTTGCGCCGCCGAGCGTGCAGTGCATCACTGTCCCCTGTTCCGGCCCTCGAAAAAAGAATTTCCCGACGCTTATAATCCGCCAAGCGGCAGCGACAACAGCATTCACCCTTCCTTTACTCCTTCACAGACTCTACCTTGCTCCTCTAATGCCTTCTTCAACGCGTCTTCTCGCGCTCGCTGCTCTCTTAGTTTGTGAGTTATCGCCCTTCATCTCGGTGCGATCGTACTAACCAATGACTTCGCAGCGGCCTCCGCCGCCATTACTCCCCCAGGACACCAGGGCCTGCCCAACAACCAGACCCCGGACGTCACCCCGTCGACCACCGACCACGCCCTCATCGCCGACACCGCCAACCAAGTCGACCAGAAAAGCGGTCCCTCCGTCGACGCGCCGCCCAACGAGCCTGTCCCTGACACCACCGTCACCGCGCTCGACGGCAATCTCACCAACTCTACCATTGCTGAGGTCGCGGCTTCCAACACTACTCGCCGCCGTGAGGTTGGGCGTTTCGGCAAGCGTGCGCAGTACGAGCAAGTCTTCGCTGGTCTCCCGGCTGGGCAGCACGACGCGTCGCTCCAGTCCTCCGCCTACCTCACGTACACCGTCGTTAACAACGCCACCTACAACGTCCAAGCTTGCACGGACTGGTGTACCACGGTGAAGGGATGTGGTGCGTACCCGCCTTCGATCTTCCCCCTCTCGTCCTTCCACCGCGCTATCCGCACTTTCCTTCCGCTATCCAGCTCCCCGCTCCATACTATCTCCGCTTCCGATTCGTGCCGCTGATAACCTTTCACCTAGTCTTCGTCAATCTCTACTACGAATTCAACAACGAACTCCTCGACTTTGTCTTCAGCGAGAAGTCCAACCTCAAGTGCGCTGCCTATGGCGACATCCACAACGCCACGGAGAAGCTTAACTTTGGCGGACAGGCGTCTTACAATCAGGTGCGCCCAGTCACCGTCATTTTCTCCATTCACCATCTAACCTCACATTCGCTCTATCCAGGTCGGGAATGAGCCCGTCCCGCTCACGTACATCACCCAGAGCAGTGGCTGGGCGCTCAAGGACCTCGAGGACCCCGAGACCCCCCCTGGTTATACTAAAGTCTTCGGGCCTACTGGTGGCGCCAACAACGCTCCCGGGGTGAGTCTCCGCGTCCCCCCTCTTCCTACTTCTCCTTTGCTACACATCCTGTCATCGCCCGCTTCCCCGCCGTCATTCGTCCTGCTTCTCTGACTCAGACGCTGACCTCTCTCGTAGTACATGGGCTTCGCCTTCCTCGACAAATACGACGTCGACGCGTGCGCGGTGCTCTGCAACGGCCGCGGCGTCGACCCCAACGGCGGAGGATGCGCCTACTTTAACATCTGGCGTGCGGTCGTGAACGGTATCCCTACTACTTACACCTGCTCCATGGTAAGCCACCTCCCTTCCTTCCCATCTCCTCACGCTCACATCACCCCCAGTACTACCTCGTCGCCGACGAGTCCACCGCCGTCAACTTCGGCCAGGGCGACCTCGTCGTGACCCTCTCCCGCGGCTACGCCCGCAACGACGCGCTCACCGACGGCGGCTTCGAGGGCTACACCGCCTGCACCGACTTCTGCTTCACCACCTCCTACCTCAACTGGATCGGTACCAGCGCGGTCGGCGGCGACTTAGACGCCAGCTTCTTCTTCTTCCCCACCTACGCGCACACCGGCCACGGCTCCGCCCTCCTCGGTGCGGCCTTCGGCGACGACAGCGACGCGGGCACGATCAAACCCGCGAAGCCGCTCAAGACCGACGCGGGCGCCAACTACGTCGTGCAGTGCTTCATGGCTTCGGCGTTCTCTGGCGAGGAGCTCGAGGCGCCCGCGCACGTCGATATTCTGTGGAACGGGAAGCGCGTTGGCGGTGTGAGCGGGTTCCAGCAGTACACCTTCGTCGAGGCGCCTGTCGTCGCGACGGGCAGCGACTTGCTCTCCTTCGTCGGTGGGGCCGCGCCCGCGTGGACCTTCATTGACGACTGCCACGTCTACAAGGCGTAAGTGACGGCGATGTGATAACTCGGGACGACGATGCTGCTCCTACTTCTGATGCTTCTCCTTCTTGTGACTCCCCCGCGATATACATACACTCACTCCACTCACCTGCTACTTACTTTCTCGGTTAATGGGGACATTTGGTTATTTACGATTTCTTACGTTGCAAAATATATTATTTGTGTGTACCTTTACTGGCGTTCCTTGGAGCGGTGGTTCCACAAGTTCCGCTCTCGACTCCACCGCCCTGTCGCGACAACTGAGGCCGAAAGAGAAAGTGGCTTGACGATATGAAAAAATGTCCAGGGCCAGAATCGAACTGACGTCAATCGCGAATTGGTGTACACCACAAGCGAGCATACTAACCACTATACTACCTAGACGTAGCAGCAACGCCAACACCAGGATCCCTATCGAGCCACCCAAGGATATATGGTTTGTAGACAGCACCTCGTTCCAAGCAGTTCCTGCAGGTCTCAAACCGAAACCGACTTCGTCCTCGATCGTACAAAGTAATTAAACAATGAAATTATCTCCAATTTCTAAGTGCGGTCCTATGGTCTCATCTGCTGTGGCGTCGTTCTTCAGCGAAGACCCAGAGTGCGACGAGTCGGAAGGAGCTCCGGTGTTCACTCACGTCGATTTCTGCGTCGAGGGCCAACACTCAAAACTTTAAGAAGGTTTTCCTTGGGTTTTTCGCTTGAAAGCAAACACTTTGCGCTTGGTAAATGATGTGGACACAAGAAACTGGTTGGAGTCTGCAGACAAAATGTGGGCGGCAAAGGAACTGGAAGGTAGAAAGAAAGGTCAGGAATTTAAGAGCACAATAATTTCTTCTTCCAAGTTGAAGTATATAAGCCATCAGAGCATCAGGATCGGCAGGTTGGGAGGTATCAGGGTTGCCTGGAGGGCCTTGGTATATCAAGGGACACAAATGATATATAGTTTTGCAGACAGCACCTCAAACAGAAAGTTTGCAAAACTTAATTCCTACCATCATGTCAAATTATCAAAACTCAGTGCTGAAATCCAACGAGTGGATTGCACATGACTCGGATGCACTCAGTGTTCCCTTGGTCGATGGTGTTCGCTCATGCAGCCCCGGGACGATGGGGGTCCTTTTGCCGCTGTGATGCGGACTGCGGTACTGTGAGTGTGCGAGCAACCGGCTGGTTACAGGCAGTCAATCAACAGTGTTTTATTTGTCCTCTAGGGGGATATTATTCTGTCGCTGGTGAGTTCGGTCAAGTTACTCGATGCAAGAAGTTATTTTTAACTGGTGGTGGTGGTGGTTATATCAACTTTCCCTTGCTCGTGCAGGATACTAGTGCTAGGTTCCTCGAAGGTTTGGTCCTTCGTTGGGGGCTAGCCTTCTCGGAGAGCCGCGGTAGGAGGAATTCTACACTCGTGCGAGGGTGCGAGCTTCTATGATGCGATATTCGTTCCTCACCGGGAAACTGAGGTGGTTCGGAGTTTTCTTATCTCCTGAGCTTGTTCACAACGACCCAGCAGTATCTTCGGAACTGGTAAAAATGTGATGCCTGCAGGCTATAGCTCTGCCCTCTAAGCCTGGTTTTCTGTGTGATCACGTGGCTTCCGAACCAGCAAGGTGCGTATTCGTGCCGGTGTTATGTGAATTGGTGCAGACACTCCGTGTGGGAATGGGTATTATCGTGAGGTTCGGCGATGAGACCCCTCGATGAGTTTAGTGGAGTCGTGTACTTGTGTTCAGCCCCGCTATAATAAATGAACAGTTGCACGCGAGGTGTTCGCTGGCTGTTTGAGTGTTCGGGTTCCTCTCTGTCTCCATTTCAACGCCTGTATTTCCTATACGGCTCCCTCTGGTTGTTGACCGAATGCGTGAAGGTCGCCCCGAACTCAGATGTGCTTCGCAATCCTGGTTCTGTGACCGGACTAGCAACCACTGGACTCCCAGTCCCTTCTCAACTTGTCTGTTGTGGTCCCAACGAGACTTGCCCCAAGGTAAGGTAATTCAAGGGGGATGGGGTAGCTTTTAGGTGGGTGTAATGGGTGGTAATTTGATGATCTACTCCTCCAAACCGTCGTGCTTTTATAGTGTGAATAATTCTACTCTCCGAATCCCTCCTACCTCGTGTTCGCTCCCGGCTGTACTGCCTGAGAGTTTGCCGCTCCCCATTTGTACCTCGGCCACTTAACTGTGCGTTCGGAGTGGCGTGTCTCACCTACTAATCTCCTTCTGGCTCATCGGTCTTCAAATCGGCGTGTTTGCCCGTTATTCCTTCTCACAACGTCGCTCCGAACCCTTCATCCTGAGAGTCGTTGCCTGATCCACGCACGTTCCCGGCTCGGCCAAGCAGTGTGTTGCCCTCCGAACCATCCTGAGTGGTCATTTCTTGCGCGTCAAAGTGGTTTCTTCATGTTCGCTGCGCAGTATCGCGTGTTCTGAGGTTAGTCGGGTGTATTTTACAGCGGCGAACCGGTGCTGGAGGTGTCTCTTGCTCCGTGAATGCTTTCTGGCAGCAGCGAACCGGTTTATATACGGCATGTCGCATTTGGCTCGCGTTCTGAGAGGTTTCCTAGGTGTATTCGCAGCAGCGAACCAGTCCCAGACGTGTTTCTTGCTTGGTGAGTGCTTTCTGGCAGCAGCGAACCGGTTTATATACAGTGTGTCGTGTCTGGCTCGCGTTCTGAGAGGTTTCCTGGGTGTATTCGCAGCAGCGAACCAGTCCCGGACGTGTTTCTTGCTTGGTGAGTGCTTTCTGGCAGCAGCGAATTTATAAACAGTGTGTCGTGTCTGGCTCGCGTTCTGAGGCTTGAGTAGTTACTGGTGTCTTTATTGTGGCGCGTGTTGGGTCCGTTAGATTTTTGCCGAAGGCGGATTCACCATAGAACCTTATTTGGGCGTCGCGCTGAGCCGATCACAACGTGACGGCTCACACCGCAGCTATCTTCTCTCCGGCGGCGGCATCAATTGTGCTGCCATGTTCCGTGTGCGCCATACTGGTGGGCGCTGCTTGTGATCCCATTCCCTGTGAAGAAAATTTGAGGGTGTCCGCTGCCCCCAATGTAGGCGGCATCTCCCTCATCTTGGGTGCTCAAGTGTGCTAGCACCCGCCTTCGTCCCACAATACCTGATAGTTGCTGCACTGCCAATCAAGCTTGGTGTTGGCTTAGCACTGCAGCAAACAGCAGGCTCGCCATTGCTGTCTGCATCTGTGTTCCACACGCAGCACAATGTGTGTCCGCTGGTCTTCAAGAGTTGTGCTCTCGGGATCGCATTAGGACTTGTGCTCTCTATTCCATCATGACAAATTTCTCATCCACGGGTCTCACCTGCATAAGAGAAATTGAATGTACATAGATCAATGTGCAAAAAAATCAAGAAACACCTCAATAAAGTCCTAAAAGTGCTATCAGGGAAGAAGAGGGAGTCTCTTCTAAACAGACTCTACAACGAAAAAATCTTATAACTCAATTGTTGTAAGTGGTCTGTCAGCTTCCGCACCTTGCCGATCAGTACCCACCCTTATCAAAATTCACCTTTTTACCCCGGGTTCTGAGACGTGTTTTCTGCCCGTAGTCAGAGAGATTCATAGTCCATGAATTGAATTCAGTGACTCCTGTGCTCACAATTTCGTGCGAGGCCGCAGAACAACAATGCCGAGTTCGATCAGCCGGCAGATGACAAATCAGTAGGTTGTTTCTTGCCCCATATTGAATAGATTTAGATGGTTCTGAAGGTCCATGTGTGCTCTAAGTGCCCTGGAGGAATGACCTGAAGGGTTCAGATAATTTTGGGGGGCTTCGAACATCCGTAGTAGGCAAAGGGAAGTTGAAACTCCGCACTTTATGTCAGCTTTATGTAATAAGGGTGGGTACCGGGGTTCCGCCCCACGGTAAACTCAAGACTAAAGAAGAGGGCTCCGCAGGAAAATCATCCTTCCCAGTATTCAGTTTACATTGAACCACTTCAGAATACAGGATAGCCTTTGATGGGTGGTGATAAGTTAATATTGATGGAGTGATGGCCCTATCTTTAAACTCAATCAATGATGCAACTTGTATATATTTGCACGACTCATACCACCCCTGGCCATTTTTGTGAGACCCAGTTCATTGTGGTAGTTGATGAAAATGAAAGGTATCAAGAAAGACTTCCTCAGAAGTAATGTGCTTCCGTGGTGGCTATGGTGACATGTGAGCAAACAGCAGTCACTTGTCTGTCATGTCAGGGTGTTCACGATGGAAAGTTAAGAATACCACAGGAACTTTATAAGAGACTCGATGCAGTGTGATGGCATCTCTTTCTAAAATGCCCCGCCCACATACTGCTGCCAAAACCCGTGTGGACAACATCACAGCATATCTGACCCCTGCATTGACATTGCTAGATGAGCTCAATGATGCCTTTGGCCTACCATATGTGCAGCCAATTATCAAGACCACCCAGGCGCTCATCGTGGGGGTGCAGGTATTAGTTGCAACATGAATACACACTGGAACTAAACAGAAGTACAGAATGTCAAGAGAAACAAGGATGAATGTTTTCAGCTTGTTGAAAATATCCACCGAGTTCTCTATCCAATCATTCGACTGCATTTGAAATCTGAAACTCTTGGGACCCCTCACCTAGCAGTTTTTGAGGCCATTGGAGCCTTCACAGAGTATGTAGACACCAACTCAAGGAGTTTATCCGAACTCACCTTTTCCAGAACACTGCACAAGATGTACATGTTTATTCAGATGCAGCAAGATGGAAGCAAGATCAAACAGTTCTTCCACCAAGCTGAGGCCAACAAATTGCTCAAAGACTGCCAGGCTGGATTGGACCAGGCCATAGAGGTTTTCAAAGTGAGATTTGACTTCAACGAACTAGAGTGAGAATGCGAACAACCTACAGGGCGGAATAGGAGTCACAGTCTTGAGTGATGTTATGCAAGTCCAAGCTGAAGCAGATAACATGCACAAAAAACTACTTGAGCTCATATTGACGGAGTCAACACTTTCTGATACTGGCACAACGTCAGACCAGTTCTCATTGGTGAGATCATCTATACTTCCACTCACAGTAGAATATAATTCAAACCTAGGTGCTTTACAAGATGTCCAATAGTTCTCAAAATAGGTAAAGAATTTTGCTGGGAATATTTTTCCTTTATTCTAAATTCACCTAAAGCTCAAACTCATTTTCAATGCTACCTTCAAAACCGAAGATATTCCATGGCCGCGAAGCAGAATTGCAGCATATTCTTGAGGTTCTGGGTCAGCAGGCACCAAGGATAGCCATTCTTGGAGGTGGAGGAATGGGGAAGACATCACTTGCAAGAGCTGCCCTTCATCACAGTGAAACCTGCAGCAAATTCCAGAGCAGATTTTTTGTTAGTGCAGAGGCAGCCACAAC